TGTCTGGTTTCTATCAGGCGAGAAACTTTGATAGAATCGACCGTTTGCAGGACTGATGATCATTTGACATTGTTTCCCCGTGTTCTTCCCTGAATGATCAGGTACCGCAACTGCAGAAAAACATGCGCGAGTTGAGTAAAGAAATGATGAAAATGGGTCTGATGCAAGAGATGATGGAAGACACAATGGAATCGGCTCTCGATGACGAGCAGGGAATGGATGAGGCCACCGATGCTGAGGTGAATAGGATTATCAGTGAACTGACCACCGAATTTGCTGTGAATGCACCGGACGCTATTCAGTCGTCCGTGGGTGGTGAACAAGCCGAGCGTGACACCGAACTTGATGAACTGTCTGCACAACTAGAACGATTACGTAACTGAGCAAGAAACCCAATCCAGTACACCCCCACCCACTTTTCCTCAGCATTCACACAGCAGCACTGTGTTGCATTGATCTCATTTGATACCACAACGTTTTGCTTTTCTGTTTTTGGTTTTGGCTTCAGCCACGTTATGAGGGGTTGATTATCGGGTTTGAAATCGATAAGATAGCATACATAATGACAGACGGATTTATGTGAAAATACTTGCTTCTGTGTGGGCGGGTAAGTAGGTGTATGTGTGTGTTACAAGAAAGAAAAAATAGATTAATCTGCATCTCGTGACTAACACATCATTCATCCTGTTTGTGGCACTCGATTTACGTCACTTTTGTGGATAGACTCACGTGCAGAAAGTTCCAAAGTGATATTCTCTTGGTCTTTGAAATTGTTTTGAAAAATAGATCCCTTGAATGGCTCCGACGGTTCGGGTTATACTCAACTGAGCACATTTGTTTGCTTCGAGTACCTTTTGTCAAATCATCCATGGGCAAGAACAAGACGGTTTATATATTACAATATCTGGAGTGCAAGTCGATAAAAATAGGTTTCCTATTGGGGGTGAATGGGATCAGGTGTTTCTAAGTTCCTGAATACCACTGTGTGACCAGCTCTAACTGAAAACCGGAACTCATAAAAACATTTGCATAGCATTTCATAATCCGTTTTCCTTGATGAACAAAATGATCGACAACCTGCGGTTGGGTGCACGAATGGATTCGCCCACACGTAGTAATTCAGATAGGGAAAAAGCGCAAAACTGGAAATATGCAATGATGGACAGCGTGTGAACGGTTTGCGTCTTATTGGTATCTAAATGAGAGAATAGAAGAGGGTGTTGTGTTCGGTCTAGACGTATGAATGACACGAGGGACTCTTGCTTAACTCCCAACGATAACGCAGACAGAGAACACAGCTAGTGACAAAGTCAGCGTATACTTTTCTTTTCGGATGGATTGCAATACGCAAATATTTAGAACGAATCACACCTACGAGAACGGCTCAACGACGCACCAATCAGATTGCGTGCTTGACATATCGATTGATCGATCGAACAAACATTAGCTTACTCGTTCTGTGATCATCCAATCGGGCTCGGGCTGTCCGGAGCGTCGCGAGCATGTGTGTGGCCCGACTCGGAGGCGTGCGCGATCGGATGGGTTATTTAAGCTCCGTCCCAACAGGGGACACACTAGTCACACAAATCTAGAATGAAAACCCCATGCGTTCTATTATTTGATTTCGATACATGGGAGATTTGACTGTGATTGGATGGAATGAGACCGAAAGCAGAAGGGATTCGTCAAAGTGTACATGTCACTTAGAGTCAATGTGTTGCTCATCATTACGAAATCCGAACAGAATTTCTCATCGGTGATAACCACCGAGTTCACTGGGATTCTAATCCGTGAACAGTTTGACGTCATCTACCGTCATGTGGACAACGAGAAATCTCCAGCAAAACCTTCCTTTCTACAGCATAAACTCTGCTATTTGTGACATGCTGCTTATCAATACTGCTATTTAGGGGAAACCTCAAATAGGAACCGAGGCTTTTGCTGTTGGTCAAGTAATCGACCTTATTTTTAGTGGCTCACAGTTGTGCACGTGTAAACCTCTCAAAACACTTGAAATCAAACAAAGTTTTGCGAGGGTTTCGTTTGAGCAAAAAGGTATACATCAAGCTGCGTAGTAATGTGTATGCATACGATCCACGTGCTCTGTTCATATGGCCTCGTAAGCAGGTCTTACGTGTATGATTCTAATGATCACTGCACCTTCCGCATCAAAGTGAACCATTCGCAACGAATCAACCGATCGATAAAACAAAGTACAATAGTAGTGCACTCCCTCGTTCAAACACGTAAGCTAATAATCTACAGTTCCAGGAATCAAGTTATGTCGGTTATAAAGTCGTAAGTATCGACTAATATTCTTCCCTTATGCTACAGTTTGAAGGTAACTCACAGAATTTCGCTTATTATACCTTTAAAAGTAACGCAATACGGTTATTCGCGACATGAGTTAGTCTAATCCCGACTATGCATATATATGTATAAATTGGCTGTAGTAGTTGGTAAACGAGGAGCGATTTGCCACAATCTAGAAAGCGGGAGGGCGTGTGTCAGACTGATTTGCGGTTGTTGTTTCTTGGTGTCAGTGTAGGGTAGTTTCGCTTTGTATGTCGCACAGAACTGGACAGCTGTCTGATACAGAATGAACACGTGACGTGTGCAACTTGAATGCATTAGAAACCACCACGGACTGTAAAAAGACAACTTTTCAAACGGAAATTTGAATACTCATTCAGTTCACATGATCTCGATTCGGTGTTATTTCGCGTGCATGCTATCGGTTCATATAAAGGATGAGCAAGTTTGAGGAATCAACTCAGAATTTGTGTTTCGTACAGGAGGACACAAAATTGCACAATGAGGGTGATTGCGTAATCGGGCAACCGAATTTGACACCACATAGAAATAGGTCTGATTTACCGAACGATCTGAAGGACAGTGTGTGAGTGTTTGGAAGATGTTAGTTTTGCCTAACCACTGCCTTTGTAGCACAATTTGTGTCACAAACCTCTTAAAAACTCACGGCTTTGATGTATATCAAGGGACTATAGATGCTTCTGTTTTGATAAAAACACTCGAATATCTGGGTGATCTATAGTAATAACCCGAAGCTGGTTGGAGTGGTAGTGAGATGCGACATGTAAGACTGCTTGTGATGTTGAATTTCTACGTAGAATACTCCGAACTCCGAAGAGGTAAATGAATATTCAGGTCTAGTGTTAGAGTTCATTCAGGTTAAAGTAACTAAGAGAGATTTTTCCTCTGAGAAATCTTTAGCTTGAAGGGCTCAACTGTTATTTCCTCCGATGGTGCTGTAGGAATTATCATCCATTCTCTTGATCACATCATCTCCTACGAATAACAACGTGATATTGATTGCCAAGCTCGGCGAACCTTCGAAGTGGAATTGAGTTCACCGGGGCTACGAGAGCCTATTTTCAATACTTTGTCAACATGTTGATCTATTTTGTTCCCATTTATAGCCCATACATTTTTCACTCTTTTTAGATATTAACGGGGCATAATGTTAATTCAGACTTTAGTCATACATTGTGAATCCATTCTGTTTCAGATAGAAGCGGATACGGAGTGTACTGAAAGGGAGTGAAATTTACTAACCTTAGCGATTAAACGATACTCACGCCTGGTCATTTTTGGAACATCCCGCATGGAATAGAGATAGGCATATCACGATCCCGAAGCATACAACGGGTGGTGATATGCCATTACCGCGAACTCAGGGTTAACCAGAAGTAGAAAAACAACCACTTCATAACAGATGTATTGAATATCAAACATACGGACTCGTGTAATGATAGAGCGTTGAAGAATATCGATTAGTGAGAACCAAGGTCTGGCAGACTGGTCAAGATCTACCGTTGGGTAGGGATATTGCTCAATAGTGTGTTTGCCTGTGTGTGAATAGAGGGATTGGTTTGATTCCGTCGAAATTTCATGCGGCGATATTGCGCATGCCGTAGGTTTCGTGTTCGACTAGTCCAAATTCTAATCTGACATAGAAATTTCAGAATATACCCACAATAACATGGGAACACATTCAAAAGCAAGCAACTGCTTGATATTCTAACCTATGCAGATCATATAAGTAGCATAATAAAAAGGGATTAAACTTTCAGCCAGTCAAAGGTCACAGTGATTGGTTGGGAGAGGGAGGATTGGGTGAGTGGTGCATCACTCCACTAGATTGCACCAACCATTCAATCAGGTTGTAATGCTTGGTCCATTCTCAATCACTTATGCATTGTGCGTTATACATTAATACATGTCTCAGACTTTCACATACAAGNCATACAAGCAAAATCTGCATGCAACACTTCTACTTGTCCCCCACATAGCACCCTCATTTTTTCCTCTGTATATCCCATCTCGAATGGTTCCACTGACGTAGGTTCATGTTGTAGCTCGCCGCTATCCTCCATGACATCTGTCTCAGCAGTGTTGTGTCACCCGGATCCAGCGGTTCCATTCCTCCGACCTCATTCTGTGTTCAAACTGACTTGGTTTAACGTAAGAACTCTATTATGTATGGGACAACAAGCAGGTTTGGCTTATACGCTCAAAAGTTAATTGATCGCTGTTTTTTGCCTCTCGGAAACACGCATTCAGGATCGGAGTTCAGCGATCCGATAATCGTCTCCTTCCGATCCAAAAGAAGCTCTTTAACTGCTCGTTTCCGAGGACCCTGTCGCATCAGCGTGTGATCAAGAAGGCGTTGGTATTGCCTTAAGTCCCAGGACCAAGGCTGGTTTATTGCACTCAATCCCGGTAGACAGCCGATTATGCGCAGTGAGACTCAGAAGGTCAAGTAAAGTTGTATAATTTCACTGGGGATTTCTTTGTGCAGTCGCGATTCCTGTAGCATAATAATGCCTAGATTGTTGTACTCTTGTTTCCGTATGATGTCTGCTACCTCATGGACCATTCCCAATACAGAAGGATTATCGCTTATTAAAATGAGAGGAATTTGCATTTCACTGGTAATGCACTGTCTGAGACCGACTTGTCAACCTGCGAGGTGTTTTCTCCTTCTGTCGCCAGGTGTTTTGATAATCAGCTTGAACTTATTTCTCACATTGTTGGATTATTTCACAAACGATGCAGTTCACACGATAAAACAAAAATTTCATAAACGTGCTCGTTTAGGATGGCATTTGGTGCCTTTGAAATTGATAGCGATGCGATGTAATGACGAATAAAACCACAAAAAGGTGTACTTATGATTTTCGAGCTACATGGCGAGGACGAATTCAAAGGCACCGCGTCGGTTCGTATGTGGTGTGACCTGGTCGGAGACCTAAACACGCACTGGCCGTCTGTCGCCTAATGAGATCCATCTTGATAATCATCATGCACTTGAGAGTTATCTTTCAGATAATGGGGATAGACTTGGTAGCACATGCTCAGA